TCCTCCTCCTCCTCCTCCTCCTCATCATCATCATCATCATCATCAACAACATCCTCCTCCTTCTCCTCATCATTATCAACCTAATTTTCATCGTCATCATCATCATCATCATCATCATCATCATCATTATCAACATCCTCCTCTTCATCATCATCATCATTATCAACACCCTCCTCTTCATCATCATTATCATTATCAACATCCTCCTCTTCATCATCATCATCATCAACCTCATCATCATCGTCATCATCATCATCAACCTCCTCATCAACATCCTCCATCACATCATCAACATCCTCCTCGTCATCATCATTATCAACATCCTCTTCCTCCTCATCATCATCATCAACATCCTCCTCCTCCTCCTCATCCTATACTGCCATTTGTATCTCTGCTAATGTAATTTAAATCAAACATTACCTGAAAAGGTCTTTCTACGATTCATTTTTACCTTCTAACATGTTTCTTCTGTTTTGGCCACAACTAGACTTTTCACATCTCTAATAATAATGTGCCAGTCGTGTCTGTAATTATTTAAAAACAACATTTAATATTTACTCTGGCTATCCTTGTCGGATATTAGATATCCTGAACATTTTATCCAAACGAACACGAAATCTGCTGAGCCGTTTTGTATGCTTTATGTTTAACAAACGTGCTTTAGGGGGTTCGCCTGCTTCATTAAGCTTGTTTGTACAAAGTCCAAATTTCACAAAAATAAAATGGTTTCCTTCCTTGAGAAGACGCCGCTTCGAGTAAGGCTTACTACGGTTCAGTCCAGTGATTTAACTTTCTACTCTAACAAACATTTGGAGCAAATACCTGTTTGTTTTTTTCTTTTTAAAGGTTCTAATTATAACTTTGGGATGTTTAGGTGAAAATACAAGAAAATGATGATTACATTATAAAAATTCAACGTTTCATCTCCTTTCCAGTCATTCATTCCTGTGGTGATATCGTCTTCCCAGAGCTGCCTGTGAGGCGGTGAAGAATTGCCTGACTGACCTGCTGATCTGACTCAACAGATGGTTTCTCTCATAATCTTGCATGAGCTCATTCAGTTTCAGGAATCTAGTGGGAATCCTGCTGCTCAACAAAACAAACATCAAACCTAAAAAAGATAACTTCACAGAGAAAATGGCCTGGGTTCATATCTGCAGGTGATACAGTGTTAACAGGTGTTCTTTCCTCCTTTTGATTCTAATCCATCTGGTTTGAGTCTCTCAGACTCTTACTTCCTGCTGAGTTCTTCAGATTCGGAAAAAACATCACTGAAACACATACTGTAGATGTTTTCCATTTTTGTAGAAAATCACTGTCCCGTTTAAAGGTGCAATATGTATGAAATAAGTAAGAATAGGGATGGGTACAGAATTCAGTACATTTTTAAGGCACCAACCGAATTCCACAGTACTGCCTGAGTATCGATTCACGTCATATGAAATGGTGTCTTTTTTCAGTACCCGTGCAGCTCGCCGGCGCAAGAGCGTAATGTCATCAGTCAATGTGGGCGAGCTGTAAACAAAGCAGCATGGTAGAGAGCAAGCGCTCTGAACTTTGTATACACTTCACTAAATGGGATGAGTAATTGGGTGATGATGAAACCATTAACAACGATCTAAGTGAGGCATCTTCATCTTAATGTGCTCCGGTAGGTAAATAAAATGTTAACATTAGCATAGTATGTTAGCTTCCATTCAGCTAATGGTGCGTTTGCTGTCTCCTTGGAACTCCAAAATTCCAACTAGAAGAAAGCGAACGCACTGTAAAGTTTGGCTCTACTTCACTAAAAGCGACGGGCTATTGGGTGATGATGAAACCAACGACAACGACCTGAGTATGAGGCATTTTAATCTGCTCAAGCAGCAAAATAAACTGTTTAAGTTAATGTTGGCTTGTTAGTTTAGTTTTTGTTTACATAGCTAATGATGCGTTCACTTTCTCCTTGGAAATTCCAACTTCCGAGTAGGACAAATAAGCTGAAAATGAACGGCAAAAGGAATGAAGATACACAGTAAATTTAGTTCACAGCAAAGATGTTTGCTTCAGTGTAATTATCAGTTCATAAAATTACTAGGACCCACCATCACACCATTTGTCCAGAGGAGAAAGGAGAGGAAAAGAAGTACTTGGAGCTGGTTTAGTTTGTGAAACTCCACAATATTAAAATGTTATATGGTATTGTAACGGAATGAAATGACTTTTTTCACCTAAAAGTCATTGTCCCCCTCTCCTCAGCAAGAACTTATCTGCATGAGATATTGCTCAAGGTCATGCATTTGCTTCTAAACTGTTTTCCTTTCCAGCCCAAGAGAAGAATGAAGACAAAGGACTCTTTAATAAATCAAAGAACTCTATTTTTAATAAAGCTAATCTAACAAAGTGTTAGTCAATAATAATGTGGACCAATCTGTGAAATGACAATGTTATGATTAGTAAGTTTTAATAAGACTTTAATCTAGCTGCACTAGACATCCGATTACACGTAATGTAAACGCAT